GGAAGGAAGGAAGGAAGGAAGGAAGGAAGGAAGGAAGGAAGGAAGGACTGACTAATAAGCTGAGGAAGTATCAAGACTTATTTTTTCATCTGTTTATAGAAAAAAATCATCTCAAAAGTTCTCATTAGAGAAGCTTGTGAGATATCCAGTATATGACAAGCAACAGCAGGTTTTCACATAAAAATAGATGGGTATGGAACAAATCTTTAATAACTTCTACACATTCTGTCATTAATAAAATAAAATTGAAAAAGTGAGACAAATGATGTAATGGAAAAGAAAAATAAAACTATTTATCTGCAATGTGAACAAAGCACTGTTTTAGAAAATCTAATCCCATACGTGCTTCAATCCTTTTAAAAAAAAAACTGTATTGTTCCTTTATTTGCAGTTTTTTCCTCTTCATAGACAAATGATACATAAGCTGCTTTTATTGAAAGGTATAGTTTTATATATTGCAAGCCAATGCAGTAATGAATGGTAGCTAATATATACAGTATTATAAATATGTAAATAATATATGCAAAGCAACAAAAGAATTGTCTCATTAAATACTCTTGGCTGATATTTTTCTAGAATAAATATTCAAAGAAACATTGAATGATATTTATTTCCACCATTTTTTTTTGATATTCACTTTGAGTTTTTCTGTCATGTCTGGATACCTAAAAATTCTAGTAAAACTCCTGTCTAAATTTGGAAATCACAGCTTTAGTGACTGATTCATAAGGAAGTTCAGTCACCTATCTATGTGCTATATATGTCCTTTGATGCTTTTGCATGAATCATAAGGAAAGAAAACAAAATTTGCAATTCTGTCACATGGAAATTCTCAAGAGACTACACTAGGGAAAAAAAATAAAGCTCAAAATGAAAATAACACATCCGTAAGATCTAATCTAATCACCAGTAGAAGAACATTCAGCAAATAGCTATAACTTACCAGTAAGAGGGATTTCAATAGCTTCTGCCAAGTTTAATACAAAGAGAATCAGGCACACAGAAATCTTTTTTGTTTCTAATGGTATCTCCATCTCTCTTCTGTAAACATGAAGTCCAAACAGACTGAAAGATGCCCCACAATCTTTCTGTTTTGCACTGAATACAGTCCCAGAGAGAAAAATCTGGAAATGAAGCAGAGACAGTCACCAAAATAAACTTAAGGCAATGGTTCAGCTGTAATTGTGTTAAGAAAATGAAGAAATAGGCAAGATTTATAAGCAGAAGCATAAATCATAGCAATATATAGATTGTAATTTATTCTTTTAGCCTCCTGTTCTCATATTCAGAAAGGGAGGGGGAAAAACAAAATCAATTACCCCAAACAAATCTAATTACTTTCCTGCTTGTATACAAGGGAAAAAAATGACTAACATATTTGTCACACTTCTAACCTTCTATTCATTTTCTTTTTAATAGAGATGTAGAGAGTGAAAGAAGTTTTAAAAAATAAGATATTTATCATGGCATTTCAATTATTTTATTTTGTAATACAGGCTAGAATTATTTTACTATTCCCCCAACGTTCTAGCAACCACATCTTAGAATTTTATTAACAATTAAACACCTCTGGTTATAAAATGTACTTTCTATCCAGGCACATTCACAGTTAATATTGTCTACCATGGGTACCTTAAACTGAGAGTCAATAATTTAAGGTTGATACAAAGACACCATTACTTTTATAGCTATTGTAAAAGACATTGGAAGAACAGAAGCTGGAAGGTATAAAATGTAATAAAGAACCAAAAGTCTATATATCATTTTGCCCGCAGCTCACTGACCAAGGTGGAAACTAGTAGTTTGGCAACCAGCTGCTACACTGATGGAAATCAGGTGACCATTTATCTCAAAAGAAATGTTCTGGATTGTAATTTGTACTTCAGAAAAGCCAGCTATCTTCCAGTTATATCTGACAGAGCGAAGGCAGTCAGCCAGGAAGTGACACTTAGAAAACCCCAGAGAGACAATGAGAAACAGCTGGCTGACCAGCAGTTATTCAGAGGGTGTTACAGGCCATTGGTTTATAACTGGGTAGAAATTATGGAGATTTGGTAGGGGGGTGTATTTGTTTACTCAATACAGGAATTAAAGCAGAGGGGCTATGATGGCGATTTATATTCAGGGTTGTTCTCCTTTCCCTGGTCTCTCTTAAATAAAAACTGAAAACGAATAGAAGTTAAACTGGAGATGGAGCATATTCAAGCAATATTTCAATCCAAATTAAATACATCTACAAATGATTAGATTTAGGAAGTGTTACCTTAAAAATATCATCCAGTCTCAAAGCTAATGTGGAGGCTTTGGTAGCTCTTGATATCTCCATAAACTCACAGCCTATTGCAATATTCTATCACTAAAGTAATTCATCATGTATCAAGCATAAATAACTGACATAACGGTTGTGTTAGGGCTATCTCACCCATATTCAGTGAGGTTCTCTACCTCTACCTCATCCTGCCCTTCATTGTCTAATTTTTCCATGTGTATGTTGCTGTTTTCTTCATCCTCGTTATACTGCCATTGAACTTTAGAGGAAGGTTCAGCTCTGCTTTTAGATTAGCTAGAAAGCAAGAAATCCAAGGATTTCCTGCTTTCTAGCTAATCTAAATATCCCAGCAGAGCAGAATAGCTGATGAACAGGGGGAAAAAAGAAAAATAGCAACTTACCAAACCAGGCAAGTTGGATGGCATGCATGCCAGGTAAGGAGTGAGTGGGTGGGCAGGGGTGAGGCCAGCCAGTGGAGCGATTTGCCAGTTCTCCAAACTGCACACAATCATAACACATGTTTGTGCAGTGTTTTCAAGAAATCATCAGCTGTACCGCCTGGACAGCTGACAACTGCTGCGCTCGGGTGCGTTTGAAAATCCTCCTTTCCTACTTTTTCAACTTTAGCTGTGCCATGCAAAGCAGCTGAGGAGGGAAAAGCAGGGAATAAAGGACAGCCTAGAGCCTGGGCAAGCGGGTGGGCCAAACACTGAACTGGTTCGGTGTCAGTTGCTCTTTGCAGCTACAGGTTCTATAGAACTGGGCCAAACCAGTAGCATCCCACTCCTGCATTTAACTATGTGAGTTTGCGTGGGAAATAGTCAGATCTAGTTTTGCCCTTATCTTTGCTGATATGATGTACTAATTAAAGTTTTGCATTAAGAGATTGGATTGTCTTAGCCATGGTTGCTTTTGGTTGGGTCCATCAATCAGAACATTGACACTATATTTTAGTAAATAGGGCTTAAATAACAATACAAGTTCATTGAATACTTTATCTCCAAATCTTTTCCTTCTCCTTTTGTTCCTTCCCCTACATATCTTCTTCTGGATATATTCAACAGATGTATTTCAATACCTGGTTGTACTAAATTCACAATTGGTGTCAAAGGCTTTGAACACCCGTCTCATCATAGTCCCTCTACTAATCAATCTAATCTAATCTAATCTAATCTAATCTAATCTAATCTAATCTAATCCTATCTATCTATCTATCTATCTATCTATCTATCTATCTATCTATCTATCTATC